TGGCCTTCCCTCCCCTCCCCCCCCGCCCCACCCCTCTCTCGCGTCGTCTCGTGTCTGAGTCTCTAGCCGTTCAGCAGAGAGAGAGAGCGTTAGCGTTGAAGAGGGCAGCACCGATGAGAGTCGCATCAATGCGCAAATCAACGGGCAAGGAAGGGGTCCCATTTCTCGGGTTCTGGGCCATTTTCTGGTTTTTCTTCTTTCGTGCACCACTTACCATCTTAACTAACTTCCTCTTCATTGCAAATTCCGCCTTTGTAACCAAAATACCACCCCCCCCCTCTCTCTCGCTGAACTACAACGGAAGATTGACTGAGGCCCTGAAGCGCTTTTCCTAGTTCAGCAATCTCCTGGTCTCCTCAACATTTTCGGCGCTCATGTCTTTGGCCGTAGTAAGTGACAATAGGACCAAGACCTAAGTGGTGATAAACGCCAGAGAGAAAGCAATGCTCACAGCCCTTCCCCCCAGAATCACTCCCCCTCCCTAAGGCAGTCACAAGCACAGTAATTGGATTCCCACTTTATGCCCCTCCCCCACATCCCCTACGACATGATCGCCACATTTTATATCGAATCTCCTAGTGCCCTTTGATCACTTGACCGTTCAATATTGTTCCATTTATGAGTATCTTTTTCAGTTTCCCATTCTCCTAATCTCCTAAAATGGTTGAGTATGAACGCGCCCTAGAGGCAATTTTATGAATGGCTCAAACGGCTGGGCGGAAGCGAACGTAGCAACCGAACGGAGTGCCGCGACGCCATAATCAATTTACTGCCATGATTTGTCTCGAAATGACTAGAAAAAGGTTGAAAGGAGAGAAAGAGACGTCCTTCAAAAGATAGAGACAACAGCTATAGAGAGTACCTACACCACTGTGCACTAGTTTGCCGAGTTTCGTCGTTTCAACCGTTTTTAGTGTTCGAACCTTAAAGAAAGAGAGATAACTGTTGATTTTCTACACCTAACAAACTCTATTCGCGTATAACTGCTCGTTCCATGGCGAAGAATTTGGCAAGATTGAATAGATAGGCTGAGAAGATCCTCTACCTGCAAGGTGCTAACTTAGTTGGGGGGGGGGGCACGCGGCGGCGCGGCAGTCTGCTCACCTGGCATGTTCGGAAATCCGTGGGCCAGGGGGAGTGTAGGCAGTCTAGGGGGGTGGGGGGTGGGGGCAGTCACTTGACATGCGTGAAAAGCTGGAATGTTCGAGTTTACACTGTGTCTCGGCGAGAGACCCAGGTGAGCAGGACCTCAACTAGTTAGTTACGCCTGCTAAAAGGGACCATCGTTTTTGTACTCGGGCTGAGTTATACGAGCGCTCCCGCTACAGTGAACCCTTCAATGTGGAGCGGGGAATCCGTGAGCCAGGGGCAGTGTCGCCAGTCTAGGGGGTGGGGGGTGAGGGCAGTCACTTGACATGCGTGAGAAGCTGGAATGTTCGAATTCAACCGCGATCGCATGGGATCCCCGCGGGTTAAGGCAGTGGGTCCCGCAACGAATGGCGCCCTATACTAGTCAGTAGGAGTACAAAATGATTACTCCGCTAAAACTGCTACGTGAATCGATCTCAGGCGTCTTTCTCCTTACAATGAAGTCCACAATTTCCTTTTTTTCGATTTGGGCTGAGATACCTTACAGTTCACGCAATTATCCTCAATTGCGTGCGATTTAGGTAGGGGGGGGGGGGGCACGCGGCGGCTGGCGCTCTTTCGTTCTCCAAAGGCTTAGTCCTCGATGGCGCGTATTTTGAAACTGCCACGTGATGGCGAAATAGTAACTGTCCCTGGGACTAAGCCTTTAGGAGAAGCAGACGAACAGAGCGCTCGCGCCGCCGCGTGCCCCCCCCAACTAAGATAGCACCCTCAATTTTTATGATTCTCAATAATTACGAGCTGGTTTATATTATTTGGTTACTTCATAAATATTTAACGGTTAAAGCGTTAAGAGTCTCCTGCTCATTTATGAACCACTCAATCCATTCGTTTATAATCAATGCTTCACACTTGTTAATTATGTTAATGTAGGCACCATACCTGCAAAACCGGCGGCGATTGTCTTACTTGGAGAAGCAAAAATCTTCGATAAAGATGCTGCTGATACGAAGCTGCTTCTCAGCGGAAACATTTGTAGAAGGCCTCAAGATTGAGCGATAAACGGGACTCAATCAATTTACTTCGACGTTACACCAAACTACGATGTGACCGCTTTCTTATAAACGTCACCTGTTTATGTTGGAAATACAGATACTGCATGACATTGTGAATTCATTTGAAATAATCATCCTTCTATTTTCGACCGATGTTCTCCCTTAAACGTCTTCTAAATGGAATTTGCTCAAAACTAGCTTAATTATTGACGCGGGCTTTGCTTGATCTTACCCTCATCAATATGTTGATTGATTGTTCTATATGAAGAGAATGTTATGATTTTCAGAGGATACCGTTGGTAATAGTTGTTGGATACGTCACTGGCTGATGAAAGCGGGGAAAGATTACTTTTGAGTGACTGGTGATCAGTATTTGTCCATCATGACAGCACTTACTCTTGAAGGAGTGATGCGTCGATTTACAGACGTATGTTTTCATTATCTTTCTGTATTTGACAATCACTTGGTTAAACTTTTGGTTGCCTACTATTGTCATCTTACTGAATGAACTTAATCTTTTCTAGGTGCATAGCCTTTCGCAAGAAGCTATCGAAACGATATCTCTGTGGGTGATGCATTACAGAGACAAGAGGTCGATTGACATAATCGTGGAGGCCTGGTTAGAAAGTTTCAAAATAGGTGAGTTCCAAGAAAAATTTGTTCCAGCTTGCAGGTGTTGATTTTGTGAAGTTTGTGTAACTCGTTGAAGGGAGCTGTTATCACGATCAAGGTTCATTCTGAAGCCGAAAAGGGCGCAATGTAGCGCGGGGGGGGGGGGGGGCACCACGCAACATCGCGTCAAAATCACGGAAACGCTCCGTTTTAGGACTAAGCTTTTGAAGAGGAGAGGAACTCCGGTGTACGGAAGCAATTTTCGTATTCTCCGGAGTTCGTCCCTGCTGTTTAGGCTTAGTCCTAGATGACTTTTCTCAGAGTGCCCCCCCCGAGCCACATTGCGCCCGAAAAGTTTCGAATTGCCAGAAGATTTTTCATGTAGTGCTCAATTAGTCATGCGACAACCTTTCGGCTCTATTAAAATCAGCAAATAAATGGGAGCTGGGTAGTTGAGTGCCATCATCCTGCCTGGCGATGCACACGGACCTGAATATGTATATGAAAAAAAAGATGTCGTTTGCTTTTGTTATTTCGAGAGGGAACTTCCTGTTTGTAAATTATAGTAATGACCTGGTAAATTCCTCCGTATTCCTCCATATTTTGTAACATTCATATATATTTGCAGCGAAGAAAGACGAACAACGGATTGCCTTGTTTTACATACATAACGATGTTGTGCAACGAAGCAAAAACAAACACGATGTGATATGCTCATTCCTACCTTTCAACCTGCGGTGCTTAGCGCTGTGACCATGGGAAAGTAAGATCCGTTTGAATGTTTTAAGTAGTGAGGCATTAATCTGAAGGATGCTCATCAACGATGTATCGTTATAGGAGTTCACCTAGTGTAAAGCATGTAATGCAACGGTGTATAGACATTTTTGGCGAGAGGCAAGTCTTTACGGAAGCAAGTGTGAACGTCATGAAAAACATGCTGCGTATGTGATTTTGCTTAGTTTTTCAACTTTAATACAATTACACCTTCAAATTGGTTGGTTGCAGAATCTGAAGAAAATGGAGAAGGGGACGAAAGCTATGTCGAAGTTGGATTCCGAGGAAGTTTACAGGAAAATAGAACTTTTCGAACGTGTGAGCTCATTTTGAATATCGTCCCTCCAGTTTCGCTCATATCAACTCTCTTCAGGGCCGATTAATAGTTACTCGTGGAATGGAGGTGATTCGAAATGGGGATTTCGATTGCAGAGCACTCATGAAGGAACGTATGAGAGGCTTAGAGACACTTTTCCCATATATTTGGCGTAACTTCGCCATCAATTCAATATTTCGGTGTTTAGATCGCACAGTTGCAGCACAGCTGGTTATGGAAACACAACAGGTACACATGTTTATATTTTCGAATATTTCACATCGTGGTTGTGAGTAACGTTCATTACACACGAGAAGCCATAGTGCATTTGGTTTTTTCTGCTTCCTTTCTTTCCATTGATCCCTTCTTAACTTGTTTTGAGATGGCTTTCTTTTGTTTTCTTCTTAATTTTATCACATTAATGCTTCAAGTCAGTGTGCTGTGGTCAGCCGTCCCTTCCTTGTCTCATTTATAGTTCATCTTCACTCAACACTCTAGGATCATCTAGAAATTTTTTCCTCTACTATCCACTTGTAACGCACTGTCTCATCAAAAGAGTCATTTAGTCCTTGAGGACCCAATTTATTTTTTCACTTCTGGGTTGGGGAGACACTCCTGTTCTTACACATAATTTTTTAGAATAATGATGTGCTGGGCTCTTTATCATTTTAGACAGCCCATTTTACACGATATCAAAAAGTTCCGTTTTCTCATTCCCATATCTATTTCTTAATAAGTTATCTGTTGTTTTTCAGGTGCTCAGCCAGATAACGTCCTTCAGGCACTCGATGGAAGAGCAGAAAAGAAAAATGTTGCAGCTTATTGAGACGCTAGAGCTTGCAAAACGGAATTTTTCTCATCAGCTAAAGGATGTCACTGTTGTTGAAGATGTAAGGATTCGTTCGGTCGTTTGGTAATACATGCTAACTTTCATATGGTGAGTACCCTTACGCGGTGGGCGTAGATGATGTGCTCCAGAATCAGGTATCAAAAAACGGCTTGAAGAGTGCCTACACCATCGCTCTGGTTAATCTTTAGTGCAGCAGTAAATCGACTCACTTCTTCAATTTTGCGTTGGACAAGTCAACGTATCCAAATATCACTAATGGTAGATTTTGGAAGAACCTGATTGCGTGGCACATGCAAAGAAGGAATTGACATCGGGTTCATTCCATTGTAACGCTTACGTTACACTTACGACTGTAAAGTTACGACTGAAGAGGCTTCTTATGGTTGTTCTTTTTAGGCCTATCAGAAATACTTCCAAGGAATCCGCGAAGTTCATGCCGATCTGCTGGTAGGGATTATTAACTTTCTTTCTCCCACTTTTGTTATGCTACTTCATTAGTAATGCCACTTTTCCAAAAATACATAGAAGATGGCTCTCATATCTGCCTTGTTAAGGAAATGGAGAAGTCAGGGATCTATCCAGCAGCCACTCCTCCTCGAGATGCTCCGTCACCAACGGCTAATGACGACATCTACGCAACTGGAGTCGAAAATGCGTTGCAGTGTTAGTTACCTAGAAATAACGGTGAATGTTTTCCTTTTCAATTGTCATAGTTTTTCGTTATAGCCTTCCGCGTCCCTGGTGCCAGAGATAATATGGAGACAACCGATATGGACTTGGACGACGATTCAGCCCCTATTGACGTTGGTGGCACATCTCCTCTCTCAGGCAATCTACCTCCACCTCCTGCTCCTCCTGCAATACTTGAAGGACGACCATCGACTTTTTTGGGCTCGACTACACCTCAACAACCAATATTACCGATATCACAGCTGACCTCAAATGGTAACACAGGTTGGTCATTTATCTGCGGCTGTTATTATCTGATTACTATTTGCTAAATGCATTGCATTTTTACAGTTTCTCAATTCCTCAACACTTCTATCCCACCATCATTCCAAACCCAACCTACTTACGGAGTATCTCAGTCTCAGCCATCTTCTTTTGTTCCACAAACGAATACAGCAGTAGCTCCACCAGCAACTGGTCAACCGCCTAATTTCGCACTGGGGCAGAACCTTTCAGTACCTCCTCCTATCGCCACTCAGCCACCTCCAAATATTCAGGTATGACTGGAGGTTGCAACCTCTACATTCACAGCTTAAGCGAATGCTTTTCAGGCATTGCTGAAATCTATACCGAGCCTTCAAACTATTCAGCAAGCCACTGCAGCTGCTGCAGCTGCTGCGGCTGCCGCAGCAAACAATCAGCGTCCGCAGCAAAATCTTCCATCGGTGGGATTAATGTCTGCTTCATCTGAGAATTAGTGTGGTCATCCCTCCTTTCAGATGAACTATCCTCCTCCCGTTACGCAACAACGATTTGGTGATGTGGATGAGCGAGTCCAACCTATTCAAACAATACAAACACCAGTTCAGCCAATACAACAAGTCCAGCCAATGCACCCAGTACAACCTGTTGCCGCACAACCTCCTCCTGCCTCAGCTCCAAATTTCCATTTGCCTCCTCCAAGATCTCAACAGTCTATATATGCCGAAGAGGGACCATCGCACATAGAATATCCACCTGCTGTTCCTGGCGGAGACCATGGTAAGTGTCGTTTTTGTGTTTTGCCGCATTTTACTTCATTAATTTTTTTCACAGAACATCACAACGGTGACAACAATTACTACGGTGAAGGTGGACGTGATGGGTTTTACCAAAAGCCACCGCCAGCGCAGTTCCACAATAGCGGAAATTATCCACCTCATGGTAGAGGAAGACCTCGTGGTGGTGGATTCTATGGTCATGGTGGTGGTAGAGGTGATCAGTGGAGGAAATCGTGAGTTTCATCATGTACTTGTAGTTTTCCGTGAAGTTCATTATTGATGTCCATCTTCGCATTCACTCATATTGAGACTTAGGATTCGTTTGGTTTAAGATTTTGAGGTGATTCATATGCTGAATTTGTTCTCAAATCTTTCTCTTAACATTGCTTTGGTGCAGTACTTTGGTGGATTCATAGTACTTTCCCCTTGGCTTCCAAAATCATCATTACCTCTCAAATCAGAGTTTTCTATTTTGTTACGCGGAAATTTTCACCATTAGTGACATGTTTTCAGAAACGTCAGTGAGGGTATCTCTCGAGATGAGCCGAAAATTGGCAGTGAAGACAGCGTCCCTATGCGGTATTGTTTTGGGCGACCTTTACCAAATTTGATACCTTTGATTTGATAGCGCGCTGAGAGACATAATGCTCGTTTCGTGGTTTTTGCATCACCCTAAATCAAGCATTTTTATCGAACGATATGTGATGGATCTTTTCAACTCTACTGTGTTGTAACTTTCAGCTTACCAACTAAAATGTGGTATGAATGTTCAGCGATAAAATTATATGAACTAGTTGTCACCAACAAGTACTGAATTTTCTAGCGCCTCTAGAGAAGCATCCAGATTTGGGATGGGATCGAAATCGTGGGATGTGGAATGAGCGAATAATAATTAGATACGTAGTCGTTTGTTTTACCCTGCCTTCGCTATGGAAGGTGGAATCTCAACTACTGATTGCGCTCTAATGTCGGAGCTATTGAACTGCACTTCTCTATCTTCGTAGCGGATTACGCACTTTTTACTTGGTCGTTAAATATATAAATTGCCTAAATTTTGAGCACTCTCAGATTAAGTTGTGAGTTGGTCTCTGTCCTCTGTAATGTAAAGCTAACGCTTCGAGATGGGTCCTGGGCACCGTGGAGAGAGTTAGAGGAGAGATCATGACAAAAGAATAAGTTTGCTAAAACACATTGGTTAGCCTTTCCTAGTGATCGAGCTGTCTTCACTTGCGAATAATGAATTTCCCACTGGTGTTACTGCTGGTGATTGTACCAAGCAGTATCTGCATTGAAGTAAAGTTGTGCATTTGGACGGCATTAACACGTTGACGACAACGCGCGTGTTGGCTTTTGCCGCGTGTGACCGTGGCGATTTTGCGAGCGCGTACGCCTCAGGTAATTCAAGCGGATTTTGAGTGCTTAATATTGGGTTGGTGCATAATATCGTAGCGTTTTTTTTTTGGGCGTGTAAATTCAATCAGTACAAGAGAAACCCTAAAAATCGCCTATACCTTTTGAAAGTGCTTTTTTCGCTCTACAAAAATTACTTCGTCATTTCCCTCAAAATTATATTTGTACTCATACATAATGCTTAGAAGTTGGAAAATCCAGACGGCAGAAATCGGCATTTCGACAGCTGTTATTTTTCAGTTCACATAAAGAAAAAAATACCGTCAAAACAAAAGTTCTTCAGAATCCATTGTTCTTATCGAACCTCTCTCTAACCAACCCTACATATTTCACTCAAATTAAGACCGTATTCATGTCGTACAAATTGCGAAATAATGAAGACTTCGAGAGCGAGCCCAACATTTTTTTCAATTCCAAATCCAGTGACTTTCTGCAAAATAGGATAAAAGTCGTAAATAATGGCAAAGTGGACATCCCTGATTAGTTTTATGTTTTTAATTTCTTCACAAAACGTTTGCGTGCAAAAATGAAAAATGCAAGCGCTACGATATTATGCACCAACCCAATACATGAAACATGGGTGATGCAAAATCGAAACAGTGACTTCAAGTAAGTAAAAGCTTGCAAGGAGTATAGTAATGGAATTTCGATACAAAGACTTGAAATAAGAATGAAAATGCAAAAATTGTCAGAATTAGCTACAATTGACTTGAAAAGCTATTTCACTTTTATCATTTTAACAAAAACACATATGTTATCATATCTAAGGACACTTATTTACTTCTACTAGTCTTTTAACCTTTACAGTCATGAAGAGAAATGAGAACGAAAGATTAATCAGACTTAGAATTTTGTGCGGTTCGAAAATCCTCCTCCTAAATTAAAATATACGTGACCATTTCGCGAGCTCCTATGTTTGTAGCCAAGCTAGGGTTTCTTCCATGGAGTAAACACAATAAACTTAGAAAAAATACGCGTGCGCTGAAAAAGGAACGTAATGGGTGCAGGACACATACGTCCCGCGCTGGCCTGCAAAGTGCGGGACGTATGCATCCTGCGCTGTCGTCAACGTGTTAATACTTATGTGCTTCTGTTATTCGCATTTTCTGAGAGATCAGTTGTTTTCATCTCAAAATTGCTTTTAATTTCGTTCATTGAATAGAACCTCATTTATCGATTTAGGGGCGATTACCGAGGTGGTCGCGGTTTCGTTGGACCTCGAGGTAACCTTCATAATCGAGGAAGAGGATTCCAAGGTGGTGGTTTCCCGAAAGGACGTGGACGAGGCAACTGGGGTAGAGACGATTACTGATTCAGGCACAATGAAAAATCCTACTTCTGATCGGGTTTACTTTCTTTGTATCTGTGTTCCACTTAGTGTGACATTGTACTTAGCTTGTATTGTTGTTTTCAAAACTGCATTTTTGTTCGTTATCCGGCTTAGCAGGGTTACTATGCGAAGGCCGATATTTACGCTCTCATTGGTCGAATCGTTTGTTATCGTTTAAAATTTGTTTCATTTTTTTCTTTGTTATAAGCTAAAAATGACTATCTGTGGTTATAGTACAGTTGCAATTATCGATGTAAAATGTCATTTCTGGTCCTTCTCAAACATTCGTGAATTGAATGAATAATGAAGCTCTTTTTAGTATTGTTTTGAAATGGCGTTAGTGACGTGCTGTTTGCGACTGCTCGATATTCATTATATCGTTTTGTTGTGTTTCAGGATTATTCTAAAATGGTGCCTTTCATTACTAGTTAGGGATGGTTCCGAAAGCTGTCGAGGAATTGGAAGAGGAAAAAAGCGAAGTCTGCATCGATGTCGGCAATGTAGAGGTGGATGGGCAGGATGCGACGGATATTTTCCGCATCCCAAAAACACTAACGCTTGGACCTGCCATTAGAAATACTCCTGAGCAGGTACTATTCAAGCATTTCTTCTTTCCATGGACGACTCTGCATTAATCTCGGCATGATTATAATCTTCTGCTTCTGCTTTAGCCACCGAGATTGGTATCAACTTTATTCGGCTAACGTTTCGGCGCAATCGCCTTCTTCGGAGCCTGCAAATCAAAGCATATTTTGAAACAAATTCATTCAAGCACCATTTTGGATCACGTGAAGGAAAACTGAGGGGAAATGAGTCAAGTACGAAGTCGTAACTAGCTAACCTTACCTTGGCTTGCCATATGACCCGACCCTGGAAGGTGCGAAGCAAATATAAAAGTCGCTTTACGGTCTCTAAGCAAAGGGTGCCTTCTAACGCTCGGCTTCTAATAAGGTTAGCTGGTTACGACTTCGTGCTTGACTCATTTCCCCTCAGTTTTTCCTTCATGTGATCCAAAATGGTGCTTGAATGAATTTGTTTCAAAAATATGCTTTGATTTGCAGGCTCCGAAGAAGGCGATTGCGCCGAAACGTTAGCCGAATAAAGTTGATACCAATCTCGGTGGCTAAAGCAGAAGCAGAAGACGATTTCTTCTTTCGTCCAGAATTTCCTATATACCGTTGAATTTATGCCACAGATCCATGACCAGACAGACTAGCGGTCTTTGTTCTAGGACACATCTTTGATAGGTCCGTTGCGATCACACCGTGGAATAGGGTTATGAAAGGTTGTTGCGTTCCGCGTTGATCAATCCGTTCATCTGATGCGCCACGCACTGTATATCCACTAAGAATGGTAGCGGCTTTTTGCGATATAGCCTGCACAGTGGTTCTCAAGGACTAAACCGATGCTAATATAATATTGGTGTTATTATTACCCAGGAGACTGGTATAAATGGCAATATGGATGAGATCGTAAGACTTGGCGAGATCTGGTGATCAACCATGAGGGCATGTACTACTGCTTGAAAGGGCATGAATTATTACTGCTTTGCCTCGCTCTGGGGTGCCAGTATAATATGAATATGGCCCAAAGCTAATTTCCTTTTGCTAAATTCTAACAGGAGAAGTAAATCTGTCAAAGTTTCACCAGTGGATCGTTTTCAGATCGCCTGCAAGCGTGTGTTCTGGCGAAACTTCTTAGCTGACAAGGAAAATGTTAAAGTTGTCGCGCCAATGGTTGATCAGAGGTTTTGTATTTCGCCGTGTATTTGATTTGTGAGAATAGCATATCTCTATTGTTTCGTTTTAGTGAGCTGGCTTTTCGTATGTTCATGCGCAAGCATGGTGCACATATTACCGTTACGCCAATGATCCACGCTCATTTATTCGTTAACGATACCACATATCGCCGAAATTCGCTGGCTTTGTGTGAAGCCGATCGTCCTCTCATTGTTCAAGTGAGTGACTTCTGCTCTCAATTTTTGTTCAACGAAAAATCCTTCCCAATTTTTCTTTGTGCTTGTGAAGTGCTTCTAATTGTAGCATCTCTCCTCAGTGATTTCTCATATTTAGTAGGTTTTAGTTCTGTGCTAACAAGCCCGAGACATTCCTTGCTGCTTGCCGATTGGTAGAAGGTGTTTGTGATGGAGTCGATCTCAATTTGGGATGTCCTCAAATGGTTGCGAAGAAAGGACGGTACGGAGCCTACTTGCAGGTAAAATTTTCTGAGATATGGTTCCAGCTTCCATTGCAAATCCGCTTTCGATATGTGGTTTCAGAAGTTTCGTTTTGAACGAAAACTAGGACTTTTTCTTGTGTGTCTCGATGCGCTCTTGATTTGAACCTTGGGCAGTTCGTCAATTTTTTTCAGGACGAAGTTGACTTGGTGTGTTCGATGGTGTCTGCTGTGAGAGATTTCTGTGCGTTGCCCGTTTCTTGCAAAATTCGCATTCGAGACTGTCCTCAGCAAACTGTCGAGTACGCTCGAAGACTAGTTGACGCCGGTGCCACCATGTTGGTTAAGAGTAAAGCGTCACAGTTGACCATTGCACTCACTTGTTTTCACATAGGCTGACTGTCCATGGCCGCACTCGTGAAATGAAAGGGGCTGACACGGGTTTGGCTGATTGGTCCCGTATAAGAGAAGTGGTCGAGGCGGTTGATGTTCCAGTAGTAGCTAACGGGAATATACAGGTGTTCTTATTTTTTCTTCTGTAAACTTATGATAGCGTACGCATTAGTATTTTCTTTTTTTGACGAAAACCATCTTTCAGATGCCTGGCGACGTTGAACGATGTCTTGCCGAGACGAAAGCAGCAGCAGTGATGTCAGCTGAGGGCTTGCTCTATAATCCACTGCTTTTTGTTGTTAGTTTTGCTCCGTAATTTCTTATTTCTGAGGGCAAAATCCATGACAGGCTCTGAGATCCAATTTCACTTCCACTTGGTAGACTTGACTTTGATAACTTATGTTGATTTTTACATTATAGTAGCGCTAAATTTTGAACGCAGAATTTTCTGAACTAGTATACCGATAGTATGGGTTTTGGCTTTTCTTCTTTTATAAGGTAAAGTATAACGCAACTATCTTCAGAATAAGAACGAGGAAAGTTGGATAGTCGCTAAGGAATATCTGGAATACGCTCGCAAATACCAAGCTGGCACAAGTGCTATTCGCGCTCACATCTTTAGGATCTGTCATCACAGGTAACATTAACTCCTACCCTTTTTATTGTCCGTATATATCCTCGTTTCCATATATTCAGTCTTTTGGAGTTCGCTGATCTACGCATGCGAGTGTCCACTGAACATCGTTTGGAGGACTATGAGTCTATTGTGGAGGAAATTCGAGTTCGGACACGAGCCGTTGCTGATAATGAAGATGCTCGTCAGCGAATAGCGTCGGCGAAAGAGCTTTTCGAGCGGATACGGTAGGTGATGTGGTTGTCACCGCGCATATCGGCCGTCGCTAGTGGTGGTCCTAGCCCTTTGTAGGGATTGGGTTCATGCGAATCTAGGGATGCTTTAAGAATTTCTATTTTTTTGTTTTCATGTACTTTTTCAAGTAGCAGTCAGGTTCAGCAAATGACTATATAGCTAGGAAATCAACAAAAAATTATTAACCGAAGTTTCTTTTGCATATTAGGAATCGACCTCAATAGGCTTCTGGGTTTCTGTACGGTCCGTACAAAACTGTTTAGCTGATTCGCCTTAAGGCTAAACTATTCTTTCCACAGTCTGAGATCATTAGAGCTCAACTAATTATTGTATTCTTGGAGTATCATGATCGCACTGGGTTGAAATTCTCAAAACACTTGCAAAGATTAGGTTGTAATACCTCACAAAACCTTCATTAGCTCAGCATATATCAATCTAGCTTTTTTGTTGTACTGCTGTAATATATTAGCGAAAGGTGCCCGAGCCTGTTGGTGGAACTACAGCTGGCTGGCCATAATTAGGCTACGAGGCGTAGCCTCATAATGTGATAGATGATGTAGAAGCCACGCTTTCAGATGCGGTGAAGAGAAAATGGATCCTATTGAGGTATCTCGAACACCGCACTGGATTTGCAAACCATATTTCCGATTATCAGAGGTATGTTTCGGTTCCGTCCTGTAGACGCTTTAAGGATTCGATGTGTTTAGATGGCTCGAGAAACTATTGTTGGTGAGGGAGAGAAGACATATAAGGAGAAGAGAAAAGAACATCTCCAAAAAATCGCTGATGAAATGGGTTTATCCTTGAAGTGAGTGGTTTTGCACTCTGTTTTCAGCAACTAGTTTCCAACAATTTCCTTTAAGGCAGGCACGGAAAAGAGAGCGTAGAAAATTGAACGGTCAGAGGACAATAATATCGAAGAGGGTAATTTTTGTTTTTCTCATTCATTTTCTCTTTCTCCTAATAAATAGTATTTTACAGATGAAATTTCCTCCTTGCGCGCGATGCACTCAACCAGCAGGGCAAGGCTGTGCTCACGTGTTTTGCAAAAAATGCTGTCGCTGGACGTGTAAGCAGAAGGGATGGGATTGCAACGGTCAGTGTCATTCGCCTCTTTAGAAATATTTTGTGACTATAAGTTCACATGTCCATTGCGTTTTTTATGAGTCCGTTTACAGCACATCGGTTCAAATACTCGCATGTGGCTGTGGAACACAAGAAGAAGAATGAATTAGTCGGTGTAATCCCAGAAAATTGAAGGGTATTAATATTTTTAGCAATTCTTCTTTTATTTTCGATTCAATGGAGATGTGTATACGATGGCCATATGAGTTCTCTCGCGTAAATAACGGTCTTTTGAAATTAGCTCTTCTAAGTTCTAGTAGTACATTGCTGGATTATTCTCACATAAGTGAAGATGGAAGGCTGTACTGAGCATACTCCACAGCACTCTCCACATGGAAAATGAATTTTGGTTGTTTTGGATTTCTCAACATCCGCTGCAAAAGGGAATTTATATAAAGAAACGCTATGACACATGGTTCTTTTCAAAAAGCTTGATCTGATATAAATTTCTCAACTGCTCAGGTTCTCTACCCCCGCCCGTTCTTTTACCTCTTACTCTGCATAGTGGTGTATGTGGTGATAACCTATATCGGTTCATAAAACTCAAGGAACTTACCTTAGTTCAACATTTTCATGGCACTGGGTTTCGTAAATCTTCTTAGTTCAGCACCATGCTCATTCTATGTTAGCTTTGTTATCAGTGAAGCTGTTAACTCATTTGTGGTTTATTTATGCCTTTATTACTACAATATTAGGTATATCATACTCACTGTTTTTGTTAGTGTGTTTAACCTTTTATCTCCACAAGGAAGATTAATGTTTGACTTGTAGTGCAAAAATTGTTCAATATACAGTATCCTACGTTGAAATTTCTTAGATATTTATTGACCGTTTTTGTTTTATGTGAATGACGGGTATGCTCACCTTGTTATGTAAATAAATGTTTGTTACAAGTTTTCCGAATTCAAATAATGTTTTGTTCATTCCCTATTTCATCATTCTTTTTCGTATTGATGCCTTTTTTATGGTTTTGAGCGCCACCGGTTTAATCTGCAATAATTCTACAGGCAGCGTCAACAGTTCGCCGATATGCAACGAACCCTGTGAGTTGAATCAAATTAATCTGTTCTTTCTGAAGTATTAGGAATTTTCCAGAAACCCAACCTGTACCGGTACCTCGGTAATCGCCCTTCAGTATGAGAAAGGTGTTGTGATCATGACCGATCGCGTTGTTTCGTACGGAAAAACCGCTCGATACAAGGTGGGTCAAAGATAAATATTGAAAAGCCAAGAGATGTTTTGAAGGAATCCTCGGAAAATTCTTGCATTCTTTCCTAACATGAATGTGTCAGTTGTGATCACTAGAGACAACATACAAAGTTTCACGCATGAAGATTCGGTTTCCGAAGAGAACAAACTACGAAAACCACACTCTATGGACATCGAAGGTAGGTCGCGCGGAGCCAAAGGCGGGCATGGAAAGAAGTGCGCCTTGGGGCGGCTACGTATCAGGCGACGCAATGAAAGAATCGGGTTAAAGCGTGCGATTTTGGAGAGTAGAGACAAATCGATCGATAGAATAGGATGCAGTAGAAGTGTGAGATGTGCAATAAGTCAAAGGTCAAAAAGAGTTTCTAGTGGCAGTACTCCGTGAACCAAGAAAATTTTTTGTTCTTTTAGTTCTAATTGTGAACCTTGGGTCTTAAGCAAGTGGTTTATGGGTGAAAGAGAATTCTGATTTTTCCGGAAAGGATTCCTCCAAGCGGCAACTGGTGTTCCATTCATTCTTTCGAATATTCATGTGTCTACCATGCTCCATTCATTTTGTTTTTCTCCTATCAACACTTACACATTTTCTTGCCTCTGTTACTATTTGGGGACTTGTTGCTCAGACCGTGGTGATCGCCTGGTCGCCAAAACCGCGATGCTTGCCCCGCAATGCGATATCACGCGCTTTTTTCCATAACATTTTGCAGTGAATGGCTGGTCACATTACGCCACATGCACCATTATGCTTTCCTACCTTATTTCAGTGGCTTAGAATGTGACCTAATACGAATCGCGACGCATCCTTTTTACTTCGCGGCTTTTTGAAAATGGCGCCGTATCGTGGTCGATCGATCGGTGCGTATCCATTTCATGCCGGAACTTTCGCATGCTGCAAGATTGTCGCGAAATATGGCCGCGAATTTACTCCTAATGACTGATCGGTCATGGCATGAATTTTTCGGCGTTGATTAATCCCTTGTTAGGATGCACCACGCATCTTCTCCCATCCAGATTCCTAGTGGGCTAGGATAATTATGTCACCCACCAACTCGCTAAAATTTAATTTTCAGAATGTATCTCGTCAATATAAAGTAAACAATAATATGATTATCGCCTTTGGAGGCGATCACGCAGACTTTCAATGGCTTCAAAATGTCATAGAAAGACAGGTGAGCTAGTGGAATGTTTCTGGTGTTTTTACCAAGCTGCAGAATTGTCTAATGCTTATTGTTCTTGTAGGTGTTGGCGTGGAAGATGATTGGTCAGGATCTTTCACCGAAAGCCCTCCATGGATATTTAACGAGCTTGATGTATGCTAGGTGAGCAGAGAATTCCACAGCAATTTTCTCTCCACAAATTTCACCCACTTTACAAATCTCGATCGGAATACTCGACAGCACATATGAAATTGATTCAGATTCTTGCACGAAAGGAGTGTTACCATCAGGTTTCATTTCAAAATTTCTACGATAAGTCCCAAAGTGGGTCTCTCCACACGACCTTCTAACGGTTTAGTGGTGTCAGTAGTCTCTTGGAACCTGCCATCAGCTGACACACTTCACCTCCGCCTCTTAAATGGGCCTAAGGGGGAGGGGGTAGGGGAGGGGAGGTAGGTCAATATTACAAGTGAACAGCAAGTTCTCACACATATCCTCCCATCCAGTTACCTCTTTCTTCTCTCCATGACGTCCCACTAAAAACCCATACCTGACCTACCTCACCAAAAAATCCCAAATATGACTCCGCCGTTGTGAAAAGCCTAACGGGCATATGACCACTACGAGACTCGTCGAATTGGGGCTCAAATTGTGCAACCGGTGCTTACAAGGAAAGGATGGTAGGTCGAAGTGGCCGTATAAAATGAGATGTATACCACCTGATGCGTCTCTAGACGCTGATTTCAAATCTGCCTTCCAAATCTTTGCAAGTTTGTTGCTTTGCTTTTGTCCGCGACACAAAGGAACCGATCCTACGAGCTTTTACCTGCCACCCCGGACCATCACCACTGAGCTATTACGCTTCATAACTCCGTTCGGAGAGTCGTTTAGCAGATTTGGAAGGCAGATTTGGAATCAGCGTCTGGAGACGCATCAGGTGGTATACATTTCATTTCAAACGGCCACTTCGACCTACCATCCTTCCCTTGTTAGAAAATCATGTCGCTATACCAATCAGAAAGGTGGTATGTCATATCATCAATTCAGACGTACTCGCATGAACCCTCTATGGAACACCTTGGTAGTAGCTGGAGTCGAAGACGAAGAAAAGAATAACAAGGAAACAAGTGTAA